ACTTTATGGTGGTCGTTAAACCAGCCCAATGGTTTAAGCCAGCCCAAAAGAGCCTTGGTAGCACAGTGGACTAATGCACTGTTATTAACATCTGCTGCTTGCAATTACTGCAAGTTCAAATCTCACCAGGCTCAAGGTTGACTCAGCCTTCCATCCTTTCAAAGGTAGGCAAAATGAGGACCCAGATTGTGGGGGCAATAAGCTGACTTTGTATAAATATACAAAAGTATGAAGGCTATTGCTTAACACATTGTAAGCCGCCCTGAGTCTCCGGAGAAGGGCGGCATATTAATTAAAGCAACAAAAAAAAACACCTTACACCGCTCAAGGACAATGCATTAGGATGCGTGCACGGTGCATTTCATGGCAAAGAAGTTCTGAAAATCTATAATAGAGAAGAGAAATGAGGTTTAGCCACCAGATCTAGGTGTCTGAAGGTGGAACAGAAAAGATACTGAGATATATTTGTCTTCAATTGTCCATGGTGTATCTACTCAACTGTGGCCACTTTAAGATGGGTGGACTTCAACTCCCAGAATTCCCCAGCCAGGGATTCTGACGTCCAGACATCTTAAGGTGGCCAAGGTTGAGTAGACAACAGGGACACACCTGAGATTCTAGACCCATGATGACAAATCTATGGCATGCGTGCCACAGGTGGCACGCAGAAACTTCTCTATGGGCACACCAGCCATCACCCTAGCACAACTCCACTGCGCATGTGTGCGTGCCTCCCGTTGGCCAGCTGGCGTGTATGAGGGGGAGGCACACACGCATGCACAGGGAGACGGGCATATGCAGGAAGAATTTGCATTGGATTTTGGGGGTTCACACATGTGCGTGCGCCCCCACGTGCCTATTTTGGGCCTGAAAGGAAACCAAACATAGGCAAGGGGGGGTGCATGCGTCGGGGACACAGGCACATGTGTGGGAAGTAGGACGTATGAATGGAGATGCATGCACGGGGCACTTGCATTGCATTTTGGGGGTGCGCACATGCGGTTTGGGCACTCGGCACAAAAAAGGTTCGCCGTCACTGTTCTAGAGTAATATTGCTTTAGAGCTGGGGTGTTCTGTCCCCGTCTCACACACGCACACAAACAGATAGCCGGGGGTTAAATAAAACTGGCAGACAACAAATCCTTTCGATAAGAGGATTGGCAGCAACCCAGTAGCTGCTTGCCAAGAACTTTACTCATAGAGGGAGGGGTTGTTCCTCCGACAGATAAATCCAAACAAGATACACACAGTTCAAGAACTGTCAAGTCCAGTCCGTATTAAATCCAAGGCAGATAATGTTGTTTCAGAGATACAATGTGACTCACTAGTAGTTTGTTTTGTCTGTCACAGAGTCTGAATGGCCACCTCACCCCCTTTTATCCCCTGTGGGGTGTGGTCCAGTGACTCAGCTTAATCTCTGGCACACCTCCTTTTCTGCTACGTGCGCTTGTCTCTCCGACGCTGTCGTGGATCCAGCCAAGACTTATCTCTGTCACTGTCCGACTGTTCGGAGATACCTGGCTCCTGGCCAATCTCTTCTCCTTCAGGAGACACCTGAGGCATTGTCAGAGAGGAGGGTCCTGGAGAGGGAGGCCTGGCCAACTCCTCTCCTTCATGTTCGGAGCCTTCTCCCTTCGATAAGTCGGCCTCGGGGGTCAGAGTCACAACATGGGGGTCTCCAACCTTGGCAACTTTATGACTTGTGGACTTCAACTCCCAGAATTCCTCCAAGGGATTCTGGGAGTTGAAGTCCACAAGTCATAAAGTTGCCAAGGTTGGAGACCCCTGCTTTAGAGGATCCGAGACAGACACTTGGAATCTGGATTCTTCTGCTCGCTTTTGAGTATTTGTCCAAGTCAGCGAGAGCCGAGATTTGCTCAGTTCCTGTCACGGAATGTTCTTTTGTGCCGATGGTAATGAGACCATCAGGCTGTGTTCACCTGAAGTGCCGCTCTGTGAATCAGAGGCAATTAAACACCTCCGGGATGAAAGGAAGAGGGCAAGGAAGGTTAAGTACGACATCCTCTAAAGCGCAGGTGGCAAGAGCTTCCGAGAAGCCTTGAGGATGCCAGAGGAGTGAAGGGTAGCACCTGTTGACAGGTAGGCAGCACCGTTGGCATCTGGGCTGGGGCAGATCAACCCCGTCTGCTCTAATGAGAAAAGGGGGAGAATCGTATTAGCATCATCTCTTGTGAAATCATTACTAAACCAACATCCTGCCTTTACTTGATGCTAGTCTAAAGAAAAGAAGTCAATTTGAAGCACATTTTGCTTTTGGGAAGGTAGACGTGGGGTCTCCAACAAGTTGCATCTTCTCCAGCTTCCATGAAGTTCCAGAGCCTTGATAGTACAGTGGTTTAGTGCACCCTGTCATTAACACAGCTGCCTGCAATTTCTGCTGGTTCGAATCTCTCCAAGGCTCAAGGTTGACTCAGCCTTCCATCCTTGCTAAGGTAGGTGAAATGAGGACCCAGTTTGTGGGGGCAATAAGCTGACTTTGTATAAAATATACAAAAGAATGAAGGCTATTGCTTATCGCATTGTAAGCCGCCCTGAGTCTCCGGAGAAGGGCGGCATATAAATCAAATTAAAAAAAAAAAAAAAAAGTTCGGGTAGGGTGCAGCAGTGGGTTTCTCATTATGTTACTACCGGTTCGCCATGGATGCACATGCTTGCTTCATATGTGTGTGTGCCTGATTCACCCGCATGCCTGCCTTTTGTGCATGCACCCGGCCTCAAAAACATGCCTAAACAGGATGGCATAGAGCTGGGGCAGGTCCGCCCACAATTTCCACTACCGGTTCGGGTGAACAAGTGCGAACCGGCTGAATACCACCTCTGGTAGGATGGCGTCCATGCTTCAGTTCTGCTAGAGCTGCCAGCAAGAAGAGAAATGTCCACAACGGGCCACTTGCTTGCTTAAAATTCATCGTTTCTTTGCTTAAACATGGCTGTCTTTCCTAAAGAGTTTCTTTATCTAGGGGTCGGCAATCTTAAACACTCAAAGAGCTGTTTGGACCCGTTTCCCACAGAAAAGAAAACACCGGGAGTCACAAAACCCTTTTGACCTCTAAAATGAAGATAACACTGCATATATCGTTTTTTTTTTTTTTACCTTTATGCTATGTATAAAAAAAAGAAACCGTGTTGCGTTTATGAAATCAATGACCTGCTACAGAGAAAACACATTTTTATTTCTGCATATGCAATAAAAACATTTTGAACTCCGGAAAAAAAACAAGATTGGGTCGAAAAGCTCAATCAATCACCTGCCGGCGGGTGTCGCACATTGGCAGTTGTGATGCATATTTTGAGCGTCAGGGAGCCGCAGCAGAGGGATGAAAGAGCCACAGACGGCTCCAGAGCCGCGGGTTGCCGACCCCTGATCTAAGGAGAAAATGTGAAATAGGTGAAATGGAAAAAAAGAGCTCCAATAGGTTAAAAATACTTAGAACATAGAGTTAGACTTAGAATAACGTTATTGTCACTTTGAATGTACACTAATCGGCATACATAAAAATGAAATTTCATTGCATACCCAAATCAACTCAATAAATGCTTAACGCATTGTAAGCCGCCCTGAGTCTCTGGAGAAGGGCGGCATATAAATTAAAAAAAAACAAAACCCAAATAAACACTAAAGCGGTTCTTCCATGATTGGCTTCAAAGTGCAGTCCAAAATATCTCGCTCCTTGGTGAATCCCAAGAAGTTCAATGGGATCTGCTCTTGAAGTCAACGCAGGGGTGAAATCCAGCAGGTTCTGACAGGTTCTGGAGAACCGGTAGCGGAAATTTTGAGTAGTTCGGAGAACTGGCAAATACCACCTCTGGCTGGCCCCAGAGTGGGGTGGGAATGGAGATTTTGCAGTATCCTTCCCTGGAGTGGGGAGGGAATGGGGATTTTGCTGTATCCTTCCCCTGCCATACCCACCAAGCCATACTCACCAAGCCACACCCACCAAGCCACACCCACCAAGCCACACCATGCCCACCAAGCCACGCCCACAGAACCGGTAGTAAAAAAAAATTGTATTTTGGTCACACGTCCATTATCTTCTTAACGGTGCATATTTGTTAATTATTATTACCGTACACAATTTTTCATTTACTCTCATTTCTACGAGTTATCCAATCATACCACCTATTCCACGCTATATAACATTTTGAGTCTACCTTGTCCTTCATTTCAAATGTTAGTTTGTCCATTTCCATGCAATTACAGATTTTTTGGATTATCAATGACCAAAGTCACTTTTTCTTTTTATGTATTGTCGTTAGTATTAATATATATGTATCTTGTATATACATAGTATATACAGCTGGCGCAGAGTGCAGCCGCGCGGGTGGTTATGGGAGCGACATGGCGTTCCCGTATAACACCTCTCCTGCGTGAGCTGCACTGGCTCCCGGTGGTCTTCCGTGTGCGCTTCAAGGTCTTGGTTACCACCTTTAAAGCTCCATGGCTTAGGACCTGGTTATCTACGGGACCGCCTGCTACCACCCGTAGCCTCCTACTGGCTGGTACGCTCTCATAGAGAAGGGCTCCTCCGAGTGCCGTCGGCCAAACAATGTCAACTGGCGGCCCCCAGGGGGAGGGCCTTCTCTGTGGGGGCACCCACTATCTGGAACGAGCTCCCCCCGGAGATACGGAGGATCCCGGATCTACGCACGTTCCGTCGCGCTCTTAAGACCTTTTTATTTCATTAGGCTAGCCTGGCCTAATTTTTTCCCTTTTCCCTTTTGAAATGGAAATTTTAATCTGTTTTTAATTATTGGGGTGTTTTAAATCTGTCTTCGGCCAAATTGTTTAATTCGGTTTTATTCTGCTTTTAAATTTTGTATTTATGTGTTTTTATCTTGTGGCTGTTCACCCCCCTGAGTCCTTCGGGAGTAGGGCGGTATATAAATCAAATAAAACTAAACTAAAAAACTAAACTAAACATGGTTTCCTCTTGAGGGCCTTCCAGGTAGAAAACTTCTCCTTCTGGTTCTTCTCCCAGATCTCCGCACTGAAAAGCCGGTTGAAGAAGGTCTCCATGACGACAGGAGATGGGGTCGCCAGAGCGTTCCTGAAAGCCCAAGCTGCATTTTTCGGGAGCTATCGAAACGCCCTGAAGATTGAGCCGGTAAGCATGAAGGACACAGATCTCTTGACGTTGAAGAGAAGACCAGGCGTCTTGGTGTAGTGTGTGCATTTCTTCACAACTCAGTAAAACGTCAGGTGTGAGCATCGTCTCTACGGTGAGTTGGATTTCCAGTCATGTAAATGAGGATTGGATGCGGTGGCTCAGTGGCTAAGAGGCTGAGCTTGTCGATCTAAAGGTCGGCAGTTCAGCGGTTCGAATCCCTGGTGCCGCGTAACGGAGTGAGCTCCCGTGACTTGTCCCAGCTTCTGCCAACCTAGCAGTTTGAAAGCAGGTAAAAAATGCAAGTAGAAAAAATAGGGACCACCTTTGGTGGGAAGGGAACAGCATTCTGTGCGCCTTTGGCGTTGAGTCATGCCGGCCACACGACCACGGAGATGTCTTCGGACAGCGCTGGCTCTTCGGCTTTGAAACGGAGAGGAGCACGGCCCCCTAGAGTCGGGAACAACTAGCACATATGTGCGAAGGGAACTCTTTACCTTTTTAAATGAGGATTCTGGGCATGATCCAGGTTAGCTTGAATCTTCTTGTCGTCTTCAGCAAGTGGTCTGGAAATCCAGCTCTTTTTCCAGGAGGTGACCTGGCACCTTGTGGGATGAGGGTGACTCTCAGGTTGCCCATGGCACCTCAAATAAGGCTAGTCCATCATTGTAGGGTTTTTTTTTTCTTGATGTGAGTGTGGTTATACACCTTGAGTTTGATTGCCCTTGGATACCAGGAGGTTGTTATTGTAATCAACAATAGCCTATTGTTACTGTTCGTTCTTCCTGCTCTGCTGGTTTTTATCCTCTCTTGGCCATCCAGAGACCCCCTTACAAGGTGGCAGCCATATTAGAATAGAATAGAGCTGGAAGGGGCCTTGGAGGTCTTCTAGTCCAGCTCCCTGCTCAAGCAGGAGAATCTATACCATCTCAGACAAGTGACTATCCAGTCTCTTCTTAAAAACCTCCAGTGATGGAGCACCCACAACTTCTAGTGGCAAGCTGTTCCACTGGTTAATTGTCCTCACTGTTAGGAAGTTTCTCCTTAATTCCAGGTTGCCTCTCTCCTTGATTAGTTTCCATCCGTTGTTTCTTGTCCTGCCTTCTGGTGCTTTGGAGAATAATTTGACCCCCTCTTCTTCGTGGCAGCCCTTCAGATACTGGGAGACTGCTATCATGTTACCCCCTAACTCTTATTTTCTCTAGCCTAGCCAAACCCAGATCCTGCAGCATATCGGTGTATTTATTAAATAATTAAAGTAAGAAATAATTGGATAAGTGAAGGACTGACCTGAAGTTGAAATACAAGCGGGGTTGTGATTGATTGGTCTTGACGTTGAGAAGAGGAGGTTCTGAGTTGATTTGATTGTGGGAATGAGAAGGGCATGGCTCTTGAAATCTCCTGGGAACGGAATGGAATGGAATATAGACTAGACTACACTAGACTAGACTAGACTAGACTAGACTAGACTAGACTAGACTTGACTTGACTTGACTTGACTTGACTTGACTTGACTTGACTTGACTTGACTTGACTTGACTTGAGACTTGACTTGAGACTTGACTTGACTTGACTTGACTTGACTTGAATTCTTTATTGACCAAGTGTGATTGGACACACAAGGAATTTGTCTTTGGTGCATATGCTCTCACTGTACATAAAAAAAAGAGAAGATACATTCATCAAGAATCATACAGTACAACACTTAATGATAGTCATAGAGTACAAATAAGCAATCAAATCATACAATCAAACAATCAAAATAAATCGTAATGTACAAGCAACAAAGTTACAGTCATACAGTCGTAAGTGGGAGAAGATGGGTGATAGGAAAATGAGAAGATTAATAGTAATGCAGATTTAGTAAATAGTTTGACAGTGTTGTGGGAATTATTTGTTTAGCAGAGTGATGGCATTTGGGGAAAACTGTTCTTGTGTCCAGTTGTTCTGGTATGCAGTGCCCTATAGCGTCATTTTGAGGGTAGTAGTTGAAACAGTTGATGTCCAGGATGCGAGGGGTCTGTAGATATTTTCCCAGCCCTCTTTTTGACTCGTGCAGTAGACAGGTCCTCCATGGAAGGCAGGTTGGTGGCAATTGTTTTTTTCTGAAGTTCTAACTATCCTCTGAAGTCCGTGTCTGTCTTGTTGGTTTGCAGAACCAAACCAGACAGTTATGGAGGTGCAGATGACGGATTCAATAATTCCTCTGTAGAACTGGATCAGCAGCTCCTTGGGCAGTTTGAGCTTCCTAAGTTGGTGCAGAACAGAGGGATGGAGGGACGGGCAAGCCTCGAGAACAGGAGGGCAGTGATTGTGTAAGAAAATTGGGGACCTGTGCACATATCTGCTCAAGTTTCAGAGGTGGTTTTGGTGAGTGTTGGCAGCTCACGTCCTGCCTCTCCCCTCATCCAGCTGGCTTTTGGGTCTCTCTTTCCCAAACTCTCTTTCCCAAATTCCAGCAAAATCCATCTTTTGGCCCTGCGAGTGAAGCCAAGCGCCCCTCGGCAAATACAACTGTGTGCAGTTTGTGGCTTCCTTTTTTATTTTTTGATTATTATTTTTGTGTGTGTGTGTGTTAGCTGTGAAATGCTAAAGGTTAAAAAGAACTTTCAGGCACTCTTCCGCACAAATAGCCACTTTAATTGCTTAATATTGTGGCATTTTAAATATTTATAGCCGTATCACATGCTGGCGGCAGGAGGACAGAGACAACCGGCAACTCTAAACTTTTTTTCCCCCTGGTGGAGAAGAAAGGCCCGGTTGTGCTTGCCTCGAGTGCCACCTGGTGGCCAGACGTGGCCTGTGATCGTGGGATTTGGCAAAGGCTGGAGGCGATCCAGGCGATCATTTAGAAAACGAGCAGGATCTGCAATCTTGGAGACACGGCATGAAGAAGTCTTGGACAGACTGTCCCTGTCAGAAGTTTGTCTAATAAACTCAGATTGGACGTGATCCTGGCTTGTCCAGAAATCCTAGCAACCGCCTGTATTTAAGTTTTTCGCTGTGTCTATAGTACCTTGTCTTCTCCTGGGAAGGATGGTTCCTTCATCCCTCCTTCCATCCCTCGAAACCATCTCCAACAAATCTTGAGGGTTTGGTCTTCTCCTGTCTAACCAGCTTTTATGTCTTTACCTGTCATCTCCTACCACGATCTTCTCGTCCTCCAGAGACCCGCTGCCAATAACGCTTGATTCAGAAGGAGTTATCTTGGTTTGTGGAGAGTTTGGTCTGTTTGTAGACTCTGTGTGGCTTTTTCCTAGGCCCGTGATGGCGAACCTATGGCACGCGTGCCACAGGTGGCACGTGGAGCCATATCTGTGGGCACGCGAGCATTGCCCTAACTCAGCTCCAGTGCACATGCGCGCGCTGGCCAGCTGATTTTCGGGCCTTCCAGGCCCACCGGAAGTCAGGAAATGGGCCATTTCCGGCCTCCGGAGGGCCTCCGGGCTGGGTGGGGAAGGCTGTTTTCACCCTCCCCAGGCTCCAAGAAAGCCTCTGGAGCCTGGGGAGGGCAAAAAACAGGCCTGCTGGGCCCACCGATAACCTTTTTGCCGTCACGTGCCAAAAGCTGGGGGGAGCGTGGGTGGCGCATTGAATTATGGGGCACACACACACGCAACACTCCCCTGCTCAATGCTTTTGGCACACGACGGCAAAAAGGTTAGCCATCACTGTCCTAGGCTAAATGGGAGAAGGGGAACCGATGGGGACCACCAGCTCTGTGATGATGGCTTCTGTTCTGACCCAAACCCTCTTTATTTATCTCTCGTGAATTAATTGCATTCACCCATCGAAAAGTCCAGGCAATAGTCCTTCAAGGAGTTAACTGCAGTAACAGACCTTACCAGTTCCTTGCAATAAGAAAGGCTGCCAATTAAGTTCTGGCTAGCAGTCTCTGTGGCACGAAACACCATGAGCAAAATCTTCAGAAATACGAACGGTTGTCTCCTACGACAAACCCACTCCCGTTTCCTTCTATTTATTCCCCAGCCAGGAAGGGGCCATTCAGGGTCCATGTGTGCTTTGCTTCCCGAGTTGACTCCTTGTCCTCCGTTGCTCACCTCTCCTAACTGCTCTGTGCCTACGTGCGTCTGGAACAGGTCCCAGCTGTTCTTCCTCCTCATGTTGTGACCTAGGCTTCCTGAGTCATTAAGACACACAAGTAGTCCCAAAAGCCTCTTTTACTGCAACAGCTGTGAATTACTTTCATTCACAGCTGAGTCCCAATTAGTTGCAAAAAGTCCTTCAGGAGAAGTCCTTCGGGAGAATCACCCATCTTTATCTCCCTTGACACGCTGCCAAAGACCGACTTGGCAAAACCACATGGAGTCCAGAATCAAACAGAGATGCCAACTGGGAACAGAATTAACAACGTTGCTGTCCTGCAAAGGGCCCACGTGCCTTTGCTCCTCTTTTAAGCCTTATAGGAAGGGCCAATCATCTCCAGGCCTTACTCCCGAGTCGTCCCTTTTGTTTTAACTGTTCTTCCTTTCTGGCAGCTCTGCTCATGCACGCACTAGGAACAGTCTTCTCCTGTTCCTCTGCCTCTCTGATGTCCAACTCTGGAGGCTCCGGAGTCCCCACATAACTCCCAGATGGCTCTGGCCCCATTTCTGCCTCCGATGAAGAGCCCTCGTCCAGGCCTTCCCCAGACTCCAGGACTGGCCCATGGTCCTTCCCAGCCCCCTCACTGTCCAACTCTACTGCCAGCTCCGCAGGCTGCTGGTGGACCACAACACCTCACTCATCTCAGCCTCCAAAGGCAGCTGCCTCTCCGGTGGCTGGGAAATGCCGGATGGCTCTGGCTCTATCTCTGCGTCCGATGCAAAGCATCCATCAGAGCCTTCCCCAGGCTCCAGAACTGGCCCAAGTCCCTCCCCAACCTCCTCATCGTCCTTGCAAGATGTTCTGAAGAACATGATGTTTCTCAAAAAGCAGGCTGTTCTCTATCTAACATGGTATTTCAATGCTTTCATTTCCCATGTTGGGGTAGGTGAGAT